TTGATCAAAACTCTTCAACGTGTAGGGATAGAGGGTACATACGTCAATATCATCAAAGCCATCTATGAAAAACCCACCGTGAATATCATTTTCAATGGAGAAAAACTGAGAGCTTTACCGCTAAGGTCAAGAACACGGCAGGGATGTCCATTATCACCACTGCTATTCAACATAGTACTAAAAATCCTAGCCTCAGCAGTCAGACAATAAAAAGAAATTAAAGGCATCCAAATCAGCAAAGAAGAAGTCAAACTATCACTCTTTGCAGATGATATGATCCTTTGTGTGGAAAACCCAAAAGACTCTGCTCCAAATCTGCTAGAACTTGTACAGGAATTCAGTAAAGTGTCAGGATATAAAATCAATGCACAGAAATCAGTTGCATTTCTATACACCAACAACAAGACAGAAGAAAGAGAAATGAAGGAGCCAATCCCATTTACAATTGCACCCAAAACCATAAGATACCTAGGAATAAACCTAACCAAACAGGCAAAGTATCTGTACTCAGAAGACTATAGAATACTCATGAAAGAAATTGAGGAAGACACAAAGAAATGGAAAAATGCTCCATGCTCATGGACTGGAAGAACAAATATTGTGAAAATGTCTATGCAATCTACACGTTTAATGCAACCCCTATCAAAATCCCATTTTCTTTTTCAAAGAAATGGAACAAATAATCCTAAAATTTATATGGAATCAGAAAAGACATCGAATAGCCAGAGGAATGTTGAAAAAGAAAGCCAAAGTTGGTGGCATCACAATTCCAGACTTCAAGCTCTATTACAAAGCTGTCATCATCCAGACAGTACGGTACTGGCACAAAAACAGACACATAGATCAATGGAACAGAATAGAAAGCCCAGAAATAAATGCTCAACTCTATGGTCAACTAATCTTCGACAAAGTAGGGAAGAATGTCCAATGGAAAAAAGACGGTCTCTTCAACAAATGGTGTTGGGAAAATTGGACAGCCACACACAGAAAAACAAAACTGGACCATTTCCTTATACCACACATGAAAATAGACTCAAAATGGATGATGAACCTCAATATGAGAAAGGAGCCCATCAAAATCCTTGAGGAGAACACGGGCAGCAACCTCTTTGACCTCAGCCACAGCAACTTCTTCCTAGGAACGTCACCAAAGGCAAGGGAAGCAAGGGCAAAAATGAACTATTGGGACTTCATCAAGATCAAAAGCTTTTGCACAGCAAAGGAAACAGTCAACAAAACCAAAAGACAACTGACAGAATGGGAGAAGATATTTGCACACAACACATCAGATAAAGGGCTAGTATGCAAAATCTATAAAGAACTTCTCAAACTCAACACCCAAAGAACAAATAATCCAATCAAGAAATGGGCAGAGGACATGAACAGATATTTCTACAAAGAAGACATCCAGATGGCCAACAGACACATGAAAAAGTGCTCCACATCACTCGGCATCAGGGAAATACAAATCAAAACCACAATGAGATATCACCTCACACCAGTCAGAATGGCTAAAATTAACAAGTCAGGAAACGACAGATGCTGGCGAGGATGCGGAGAAAGGGGAACCCTTCTACACTGTTGGCGGGAATGCAAGCTGGTGCAACCACCCTGGAAAACAGCATGAAGGTTCCTCAAAAAGTTGAAAATAGAGCTACCCTATGACCCAGCAATCGCACTGCTGGGTATTTACCCAGAAGATACAAATGTAGGGATCTGAAGAGGCACGTGCACCCGAATGTTTATAGTAGCAATGTCCACAATAGCCAAAGTATGGAAAGAACCTAGATGTCCATCCACAGATGAATGGATAAAGAAGATGTGCTATATATATACAATGGAATACTATGCAGCCATCAAAAGAAATGAAATCTTGCCATTTGCAATGACATGGATGGAACTAGAGGGTATTATGCTTAGTGAAATAAGTCAATCAGAGAAAGACAATTATCATATGATCTCCCTGTTTTGAGGAAGTTGAGAGGCAATGTGGGGGGGTTTGGGGAGTAGGAAAAGAATAAATGAAACAAGATGGATCAGGAGGAAGACAAACTATAACAGACTCTTAATCTCACAAAACAAACTGAGGGTTGCCAGGAGGAGGGGGGGTAGGGAGAGGGAGGTAGGGTTATGGACATTGAGGAAGGTATGTGCTATGGTGAGTGTTGTGAAGTGTGTAAACCTGGCCATTCACAGACCTGTACCCCTAGGGCTAATAATATATGTTAATTAAAAATTAAAAATTTAAACACATAAATAAATAAAAATAAAAGCCACTGAAGGTTAAACCTCTGCCTTCAGCTCAGGTTATGATCTCAGGGTCCTGGGATCGAGCTCCCTGCTCAGTGGGGAGCCTGCTTCCCCCTCCCCCTCTGTCTGCCTTTCTGCCCCCTTGTGATCTCTCTCTCTGTCAAATAAATAAATAAGGTCTTTAAAAAAATAAAATTAAAAAAAATAAATGCCACTGAAGACTTCAGAGAATTAAAATTAAAACCACAATGAGATACTACCACAAGCTTACCTAAACAACAAAAATGAAAAAGATGAAAGATACCAAGTGTTGCTGAGATTGGAAATACAGCCTGAAACAACCACTTTGAAAAAGTGTTTGGTAGTATCTACTAAGCTCAGCATACACACACACATACTATGACTCAGAAATGCCTGTCTTAGGTATGTGCCCAAGAGAAAGGAAAGTAAGTATCCATCTAAAAGGTAGGTACAAGTATGGACATCCATAGCAACATTAAGTAAAAAAACTAGAAAACACCCAATCCCCATAACAGATATATAGATTAAAATATCTACAATGTAATACTATACACCAATGAGAATGATCTGCAACTACAATGATAATGTAAATCACATACTCAAACACACACACACACATACACACACATACACCCCTATTATGTTGATTTGAAGGAGCCAAATGTAAAAGAGTACATGCTGTATGATTCCAGAAATTTTTTCTTCTAATCTCCCTACTGAGTTTAAGAAAGAGGAAAATCAACACCTCATTTCCTTTCATTTGAAAGTATTTAGTGTCCCCTTATATAACCTTCAGAATAACCTCAGAGAAGCACATATCCTCTGAGCTCTTGAAAAGCGGTGCACTTCATAGAGTACCATATCTGATGGAAAGAAAACTGAGTATAAGCAGGAGATATATCTGACCTGCACCAGACCTAACCCACTAATTCTAGGTGACCTTGGGTAAGTTAAGACAGCTCTGCTTGCCTCACCTGTCAAAAGGGATCAGATCATACCTGCCACCCAACAACCGAGGCCTCAGACACAAAATAATGTCATTCTCATCTTGAAGAGCACTCTGAATTTATAAAAAGAATTCATTGTGGAAGCCCAAGGTATTATTTTAATAGACAAGTTGTCCAATGCATAGTAACTATGATAATCATTTTTTTTGTTTTTTATAATTATTACCTTCTCGTTTTTCTTAAATACCCTCTATGTATTTAAAAAAATGCACACTGAAGCATAGCTTTCACCCAAAGACATGGCCCTGGGGGCACCAGGCTTCCTCAGTCAGTAGAGCATGTGACTCTTGATCCTGGGGTCATGGTTTTGAGTGGGTGCTGAGATTACTTAAAAAAATAAATAAACTTTAAAAAAAACATATAGCTCCAGCCTAACATCACCCAGTATGAGCTGACATAGTTCAATACCTGTTTTTGTTGTTGCTCTTGATGTTGTTTAGATTTTATTTATTCATTTGAGAGAGACAGCATGATTGGAGTTGGGGGGGTGGAGGAGGAGAGGGAGAAGCAGACTCCCCACTGAGTAGGGAGCCCGACACGGGGCTCAATCCCAGGACCCCGAGATTATGACCTGAGCTGAAGGCAGACAGATACTTAACCACCTGAGCCACCCAGGCACCCCCAACACGTGTTTTTTTTAATTCTTCTTAAGTACACTGGTTAGGAATGCAGCCTCTGGAGACAGACTAGGGCCAAACCCTAGTTCTGCCACTTACAAAGTGTGCGAGTGTGAATATTTTACTTCTCCTTGGATTGGCTTCCATCTGCCCTTCCGACCTCATTTCCTACCATCTGTACTCTATCTGCCAGGCTCCAGCCACTCAAGCTCATCATCAGCTCCTGGAACAAATGATTGGCCACACACATCACAAATCAAGAGGCCAGCCTAGGCCTAGTTGCCTCTTGTCCTTCAAGACTCACCTCAAATGCCACTTCCTGAGAAAGAACTTTATGGACAGCCCAATCTAAGTAATCCCTGGCCCATCATTTTCTCTTTTGTGTATGTGTTTACCTTCCTAAAGCCCATATGGAACTGACCCACTTATGATCTAACAGCTTATTGCCAGTTTTCCCGAATCTGAATGAAAGCTCCAGGGACTCTGCCTATCTTGTTCTCTGTGCTATATTCCCAATACCTAGTTTAAGGCCTCACATATAAATCACTAAAAATGTATGACCTAAATGAAGGAATTACTACCTATTTGACACACAGGAGCAGACAAAGATATTTGACAAAGAAATTAGATGCCAAAGATTCAAAATTTTAAGAACATTTTGTTGTAAATCCAGAGTTCTTTACAAATTGGAATGAGCCAGAACCAACTATTTGAACCAAATTATTCAAAATTTAAACCCTTCCCACCTACCTCCCTGTTTGGGATACAGCAGACCTAGGGTGAGCCCAGGAATCTGCAGTTTCCACCAACACTCCCTGACAATTTTGATGAAGTGGTCCATGAACCACACTTGGCAAAATCCTGACCTAAACATCTGATATTTGTGTAACATTAATGCATACCATGCAGATTATGTGATATGAAGGGCATCTCCATTAATATAATTACTCAAAGGGGGCACTGGTCCTTCCCTCCCACCTATGACTACAGATTGCTTTCCCACATAAAATCACACTTAAACTCAACAATATTCCTGTGTAGTGGGAGGAATTGGGTATCACTTTACTAAAGTATAGATGAGGCTGGTGGAAGGGCAGTGACTTACCTAACGTTTCCCAATGATGGGAACCCGATATCTTCATTCTTGCTCCAGGAAATTGACTAGCACACTGGACATTATACTTGGTTCTTCTCTATCAGCTCCTGTTTGGAGGGCCTACAGTCCACACCTTTCTCTGATGTTCTACTAGAAGGGAAAGTCAAGGGATCAGACAGCAGTTGGAATAGAGAAAAAAGTGAGAGGAAGGGAAAGCACATGAAAGACAGGGAAAAAGGGTGAACACAAACTTGCCTGTCCCCACTCAGTTCACAGAAAGCTGTGCAATGATGTATAGCCCCCTCCCACACACACAAGTGACACTGAAGCTCTCACATCATGGAAATGGGGGCTCATCCCTGCTTGCTGTTCCATATCCAAGTACTCTCTCTGGTAGTTATACTATGATGTTTATGTCAGAGGTGGCATCACATTGACAGAATTAAGGAGGCCAAGTTGGAAAAGGCAATTAGCATTTAGAGGGCCTACTAAATGCCACTCAATATAAGTTGTTATTTTCAGACTTTTTTCTTTAAATCCTCAAAGTATTGCTCTAACATGGGCAATGTTGCTTTCTTTCTATAGACAGGGAAATACTCAAGCTCAGAAAGTAAAAAGTCGATACTCGATACTCAAAGACCCCTAAGGAAGTGACAAATGGACAGAGAAGCCAATCTGAAGAAGCTTTGGATGGCAGGACCTCAGCTTGAGCAAGTAGACCACTGCACAACTTGCTACCCAAAATAAGCAAAGAGAGCCTGTGCAGATGACTGGACTGAAGGAAAAAGAGGCCAAGACTCAATAGCAGAGCACATACAATACACACAGGAAACACAAGCAGAAGCTCCAGGCCCTGGGGAGCAGAGGACACTACACTGCAGGGCACTACAGGACCTCTTCTTTTTAAGGCTATTATCATTCAGAACAAGAGAATTAGTAGACTTTCCTAACATACAGAAACACACAGAAAGTGGGACAAAATGAGGAGATAAAGAAACATCTCCTAAAGGAAAGAACAGGACCAAACCACAACAAGAGACCAAAGTGAAACAGGTACAAGTCGTATGTCTGATAGAGAACTTAAAGTAATGTTTGTAAAGATACTCACTGGAATGGAGAAAAGAGTAGAGGACGTTAGGAAGACCCTTTACACAGAGATTAAAAAAAAAAGAACCAATCAGAGATCAAGTACACAATAAATGAAATTAAAATTAAAAATACACTTGATTGAATAAATAGCAAGCAAGGTAAAGCAGAGGAACAAGTGACTTAATGACCCAGAAGACAGAGCAATGGAAAATAACCAAGCTGAACAAAGGAGGGGAAAGAAAATTATGCAAATTGAGAATGGTCTTAGGGAACTCAGTGACTCCATCAAGTGTAATAACATCTTCATTACTAGGATCTCAGCAGAAGAAGAGAGAGAAAGGGGCAGAAATTTTATGTGAAGAAATAATAGCTGAAAATTTCACTAGTCTGGGAAAAGAAGCACATATCTAGATCCACGAGGCATAGAGATCCACTCCCCTCCAAATTCACCCCAAGGAGGTCCACACCAAGACATATAGTAATTAAAAGGTCAAAAAGGAGCAACAGGGTACCTGGGTGGCTCAGCTGGTTGAGCGTCTGCCTTTGGCTCATGTCGTGATCTCAGGGTCCTGGGATCAAGTCCCACATCAGGCTTCCTGCTCAGTGAGGAGCCTGCTTCTCCCTCTGCTTCTGCTCCTTCTCCCTGCTCATGCCCTCTCTCTCACTCTCTCTTAAATGAACTAATAAAATCTTTTTTTAAAAAAAGGAGCAATAAAGAAAAAATTTTTAGAGCAGCAAGAGAAGACAGTTACATAAAAGGAAATCCCCATGGGGCGCCTGGGTGGCTTAGTCAGTTAAGCATCTGCCTTCCACTCAGGTCCTGATCTCAGAGTCCTGGGATTGAGTCCCACATTGGGCTCCCTGCTCTGTGGGGAGTCTGCTTCTCTCACTACCTCTGCCTCCCTCTCTCCATTTCTCATGAATAAATAAATAAAATATTTTAAGAAGAAAAGGGGATATCCCCATAAGCTTATCAGTGAATTTTTTAGCAGGAACTTTCTAAGCTAGAAGGGAGTGTTATGATATATTCGAAGTGCTGAATGGGAAAAATCTGCAGCCAAGAATACTCTATCCAGCAATGCTATCATTCGGAATAGAAGTAGAGATAAAGAGTTTCTCAGACAAACAAAAACTAAAGGAGTTTGTGACCACTAAGCAGCCCTTCAACAAATATTAAAGGGGACTCTGAGTAGAAAGGAAAATAACAAGTGAGAGTATAAAAAGTAAAAAACACAAAAGCAATAAAAATAAATATTACTGTAAAAATCAGGCAAGGAATTCATAAAACAGAAGGTTATAAAATGTGACATGACATACCTAAAACATGGGAGGAAGAGGAGTAAAGAATGAGTTTAAGCAACCATCAAGATAATATAGACTGCTATATGCAGAAGATATTACATACAAACCTAATGGCAAACACAAATCAAAAACCAGTAATTGATATGCAAAAAATGAAGGAAAGGAATCCAAGTATATCACTAAAGAAAGCCAACAAACCATGAAAGAGAGCAAGAGAAGAATCATGGAAAATCTATAGAAAAAAAAAACACACAAAACAAGGAACAAAATGCCAATAAATACGTATCTGTAAATAATTACTTTGAATGTAAATGGACTAAACACTCCAATCAAAAGACACAGGATGACAGAGTGGATAAATAAAACAAGACCTGGGGTTCCTGGGTGTCTCATCCAGTTGAGTGTCCAACTCTTGATTTTAGCTCAGGTCTTGATCTCACGGTCGTTGAGTCCAGGTCCACATGGGGCTCCACGCTGGGTATGGAGCCTACTCAAAAAAAAAAAAAAAAAAAGACCATCTATGTACTGAATATAAGAGGCTTGTTTCAGACCAAAACACACCTACAGATTAAAATTAAGGGGATGGAGAAACATCTATCATGAAAATGGATACCAAAAGAAAGCCAGGGTAGCAATATTTATATAAGAAAAAATAGACTTTAAAACAAAGATTAACAAAAGACAAATAAGGACACTATATAATAACAAAGGGAACAATCCAACAAGAAGATATACAAATTATAAATAATTATGCACCCAACATGGGAGCATCAAAATGTATAAAGCAGTTAATAACAAACATAAAAGAAATAATCAATAGTCATACAATAGTAATAGGGGACTTTAACACATAACTTTCATTGATGGACCAATCATCCAAACAGAAAATCAAGGAAACAGTGATTTTGAATGCACCACATGGATTTAACAGACATATTCAGAACATTCTATCTTAAAACAGCAGAATATACATTCTTTTCAAGTGCACATGGAAAATCTCCAGAACAGATCACATATTAAACCACAAAACAAGTCTCAACAAATACAGAAAAAAAAGAAAGAAAAAAAAAAGCCCAAAGTCATACTATGCATTTTTTCTGACCAAAATGCTATGACTAGAAATCAACCACAGGAAAAAACTTGGAAAGATCATAAAATACATGGAGGTTAAATAACATGCTACTAAACAATGAATGGGTCAACATAGAAATCAAAGAAGAAATAAAAAATGACATGAAAACAAATGAAAATGCAAGCACAACAGTCTAAAATCTTTGGGATGCAGCAAATGTGGTTCTAAGAGGGAAATTTATAGCAACACAGGCGTACCTCATGAAGCAAGAAAAATCTCCAATAAACAACCTAACCCTATACCTAAAAGAGCTAGAAAAAGAACAAACAAAACCCCAAACCAGCAAAATGATGGAAAAAACAGATCAGAGCAGAAATAAATGATATAGAAATTTAAAAAGAAAACAACAGAATAGATCAATGAAACCAGGAGCTGGTTCTTTGAAAAGATCAACAAAATTGATAAACCTATAGCAAGAGTCATTTAAAAAAGAGAGATGACTCAAACAAAATTACTAATAAAAGAGGAGAAATAACAACCAACAGGGCACCTGGGTGGCTCAGTGGGTTAAAGCCTCTGCCTTCGGCTCGGGTCGTGGTCCCAGGGTCCTGGGATCGAGCCCCACATCGGGCTCTCTGCTCAGCGGGGAGTCTGCTTCCCTTCCTCTCTCTCTCTGCCTGCTTCTCTGCCTACTTGTGATCTCTGTCTGTCAAATAAATAAATAAATAAAACCTTTAAAAAAAATTTAAAAAAGAGAGACAACTCAAACAAAATTACTAACGAAAGAAGAGAAATAACAACCAACGGGGCGCCTGGGTGGCTCAGTGGGTTAAGCCTCTGCTTTTGGCCCAGGTCATGATCTCAAAGTCCTGGGATTGAGCCCCACATCGGGCTCTCTGCTGGGCAGGGAGCCTGCTTCCCCCTCTCTCTCTGCCTGCCTCTCTGCTTACTTGTGATCTCTCTGTCAAATAAATAAATAAAATCTTTTAAAAAAAAAGAAATGTTTCATTTCTATGCACCAAAAACAAAGCAGCAGAAAGAGAAATTAAGAAAACAATTCCATCTACAATTATACCCAAAACAATAAGATACCCAGAAATAAACCTAACCAAAGAGGTAAAGGATCTATACTCTGAAAACTATAAAACATTGATGAAAGAAATTGATGACACAAAGAAATGGAAAGACATTCTATGTTCATGGATTGGAAGAATAAATATTGTTAAAATGTTTATATTACCCCAAGCAATGTACAGATTTAATGCAATCCCTATCAAAATACCAACAGTATTTTTCACAGAACTATAACAAGTAATCCTAAAATTTGTATCGAACCACAAAAGATCCCAAATAGCTAAAGCAATCTTGAAAATGAAAAGCAAAGCTGGAGGCTTCACAATTCCAGACCTCAAGCTATAGTACAAAGCTATACTAATCAAGACAGTATGATACTAAGGAGCACCTAGCTGGCTCCATCAATAGAGTGTGGGACTCTTGATCTCAGGGTCATGAGTTCAAGCCCCATGTTGGGCATGGAGTCTACTTAAAAATAAAAAAGAAAAAAACATGGTATGGTACTGGCACAAGTCAAAGGAACAGAATATAAACCCCAGAAATAAACCCACAATTATATGGTCAATCTTCAACAAAGCAGGAAAAAATATCCAACGGGAAAAAGACAGGCTCTTCAACAAATAGTGTTGGGAAAACTGGACAGCAACATCCAAAACAATGAAACTAGACCACTTTCTTACACCATACACAAAAATTAATTTAAAATGGATTAAAGACCTAAATGTGAGACCTGACACCATAAAAATCCTAGAACACAAGCAGTAACTTCTTTGACATCAGCTATAGCAAATTCTTTCTAGATATGTCTCCTGAATCAAGGGAAACAAAAGTAAAAATAAACTATCAGGACTACATCAGAATAAAAAGCTTCTGCACAATGAAGGAAACAATCAGCAAAACTAAAAGGCAACCAATGGAATGGGAGAAGATATTTGCAAATGACATCTCTGATAAAAGGTTAGTGTGAAAATATTAAAGAACATATAAAACTTAAGACCCAAAAAACAAATAACCCCATTAAAAAATAGGCAGAAGACATGAATAGACATTTCTCCAAAGAAGACATCCAGATAGCCAACGGACACATGAAAAGATGCTCAACATCACACATCATCAGGGAAATGCAAATCAAAACTACAATGAGCTATTACCTCACACCTGTCACAATGCCTAAAATCAAAAACAGAAGAAACAAGTATTGGTGAGGATGTGGAGAAAAGGGAACCTTCCTGCAATATTGGTGGGAGTGCAAACTGGTATAGCCACTATGGAAAACAGTATGAAGTTTCCTCAAAAAATTAAAAATAGAAATACCCTACAATCTAGGAATCACACTATTGGCTATTTCCCCCCAAAAATACAAAAACAGGAGTACATGGCTGGCTCAGTCAGTACATCATCTGACTCTTGATCTCCCGATTGTGAGTTCAAGCCCCATGTTGGGTGTGGAGCTTACTTAAAAAGTAAAACAAAACAAAACAAAAAACTCCACTAATTCAAAGGAATGCATGCACCCCCTACGTTTATTGTAGCACTATTCACAATAACCAAACTAGGGAAGCATCCCAAGTGTCCATCAACATATGAATAGATAAAGATGTGATATATACATACATATACAATGGATATTATTCAACCATAAGAAGGAATGAAATCTTGCCACTTGCCACATGGATACAACTACAGAGTATAACGCTGAGCAAAATAAGTCAGAGAAAGACAAATACCATAGGATTTCACTGATATGTGGAGTTTAAGAGACAAAAGAGGGGCATCTGGGTGGCTCAGATGGTTAAGCATCTCTCTTTGGCTCAGGTTATGTTTGCCAGGTACTGGGATTGAGCCCCACATCCGGATCCCAGCTCAGCGGGAAGTCTACTTCTCCCTCTCCCTCTGACTCTCCCTCTGCTTGTGCTCTCTCTGTCTCTCTCTCAAATGAATAAATAAAATCTTTTAAAAAAAAGGAAACAAATGAGCAAATGAAGAAAAAAATGAGAGAAACAAACCAAGACATACACTTGTAGGTATAAAGAACAATCTGATGGTTACCAGAGGCAATGTGGGTGGGGGGGGTGGAGGAAATAGGAGATGGAGATTAAAGAGTACACTTATCAGATGAAAAAAATAAAACAAAATGATTAAAGTTTTACATAAGGTATGAAATTAATAACATTTAGTTTTTTAAAGAAAAAGGAAAGCAACACTTGGTAACTATCATAGTAACAAATGATCCAGGCAACAGATCTGAGTGCATCAGTCTGCATCAGATCCCACAGCAGTCACTGAGTCACCATGGTAAACATATTGGCCAGGGAAAGCTAGGAAAAAAACAAACAGCAACCACCCTGATTTGGTTCCTATCATGTGCTAGGAATTGGGCTGGACTGACATAACACACAATAATTCACCCGTCAAGTATTCCTGACAATATATTCCCAGCAGCTTTAGTAATATATACATATGTGCATACATATGTACCCACATTCACATATGCTTCTTCCTCTTCTCTCCCCACTCGAGATCCCAAGAATTCATTATAGTGGAATATCTGGGGAGTAAAAAAGAAAAACACTACAATTCAATGGATTCAATTCTAAATACACATACAAACTTGAAAACTACTAAACTATTTTTTTCAGATGAACTGTAGACTTGTCTTTGGGACATTTTTCTCCCTAGTTTCAATACATTGCCAATAACCTCTAAAAGCTGATATAAAAATACAAACAAATGCATGTTATGCATCAAGTACTTTTTCCACTGCAGAGCAAGTAGCCTGAGCTTTCAACCAAAAAGATTCCTTGATGGCTATTTTTCAACATTTTGGCTTCTGACAGTTTAGTGAAAATATATGTGTAAATTGCAATTAAAAGATAGTGTCATTTGGATACCTGGGTGGCTCAGTCATTAAGTGTCTGCCTTCAGCTCAGGTCATGATCCCAGGGTCCTGGAATTGAGCCCCGCTTCAGGCTCCCTGCTCGGCGGGAAGCCTGCTTCTCCCTCTCCCACTCCCCCTGCTTGTGTTCTCTCTCTGGCTGTCTCTCTCTGTCAAATAAATAAAATCTTTAAAAAATAATAAAAATAGAAATAAAAAATACTATCATTCATGATAGTACCAAAAAGTATAAAATACTTAGGAATCATCTCTCTACTTATATGTAAAGGTAGGTACATTGAGCAGTACAAAACACTGCTGACAGAAATTAAAGATCCAACTAAATGGAGGGACATACCATTTTCATGTGTCAGAACACTAGTATTATTAAGATGTCTGTTCTGCCACAACTTATCAACAGATTCACTGTAATCCTAATAAAAATCCTAGCACACATTTTGTTTTTAAGAAACTAAGAAGTTGATTCTAAAATTCATGTTGAAATGTAAAGGACCTAGATTATAAGAACAACTTTGAAAAAGAACAAATAAGATTGTGCTATTTACAACATGGATGGACCCAGAGGGTATTATGCTAAGTGAAGCAAGTCAGACTAAGACAGACAAACACCATATGATTTCACTCATATGTGGAATCTAAAAAAGCAAATGAATAAACAAAGAGCAGAATCAGACCTATAAATACAGAGAACAAACTGATGGTTGCTGGAGGGGAGGGGGTTGGAGGATGGACAAAATGGGTGAAGGGGAATAGGAGATACAGGCTTACAGCTATGGAATGAATAGGTCATGGGAATAAAAGGCACAGCATAATCAACAGCTTTGTAATAGTGTTTGAATGGGGAGAGATGGTAGCTATATTTGTGATGAACACAGAATAATGTATAAACTTCTTCAATCACTATGTTGTACACCTGAAACTAGTGTGACATTGTGTGTCAACTACTCAAATTCTTTAAAAAAAAGAACAAAGCTGGAAGATCAAAACTACCTGATTTCAAGAGTTATGATAAAACCTTCAGTAACCAGAACAATGTGGTATTGGCATCAAGGTAGACAGGAAGAAGATCAAAGGAACAGAATAAAGCGTCCAGAGTTCACACCCATATGAACAACTGACTTTTGACAAAATTGCAAAGGCAATTCAGTGGAGAGAGGACAGTCTTTCAACAAATGGAGTTGAGACAGGTGCGTATCCATATGCACAGTCATCCATGTATTTTACCATATACAAACATCAACTCAAAATGGATCATAGACCTAAATATAAAACCCAAAACTTCTAAAAGAAAACAAAGGAGAGGGGCACCTGGGTAGCTCAGTCGTTTAGCATCTGCCTTTGGCTCAGGTCATGATCCCAGGGTCCTGGGATGGAGCCCTGTGTCAGGCTCCCTGCTCCGTGGGAAGCCTGCTTCTCCCTCTCCCACTCCCCCTGCTTATGTTCCCGATCTCACTGTCTCTCTGTCAAATAAATGAATAAAATCTTAATTTAAAAAAAAGAAAAGAAAAAGAAAGGAAAAAAATCCTTATGACCTTGGGTTAGGTGAAGATTTCATAGATGCGAAATCAAAACTATAATTAGTAAGTGAACAAATCAATAAACTGGACTTCCTCAAAGTTAAAAATTTCTGCACTTCCAAAGACACTATTGAGAGAATTAAAAGATAAGCCACTGACCGGGAGAAAATATTTGTAAATTAGAACTCTGATAAAGGACTTGTATCCAGAATACAGAATTTCTCACAAAGGTCATTAACAAGAAAACAGTTACTCTAACAAATAAATGGGCAAAAAAAAAATTTGAATAGACACTCCATTAAAAAAGATACATAAATGTTTGGGCACCTGGGTGGCTCAGTGGGTTAAGCCTCTGCCTTTGGCTCAGGTCATGATCTCAGGGTCCTGGGACGGGATCGAGTCCTGCATCAGGCTCTCTGCTCCACAGGGAGCCTGCTTCCTCCTCTCTCTCTCTCTGCCTGCCTCTCTGCCTACTTGTGATCTCTGTCTGTCAAGTAAATAAATAAAATATATTTGAAAAAGATACATAAATGTTAAATAAGCACTTGAAAAGATGTTAAACAACTTTTCTCAAATATTCAAATCCATTAGGGAAATATAAATAAAAACTACAACATACCACTACACCCTTCTAAGAACAGCCAAATTAAAAAAACTGACCATACCAAGTCCTGGCAGCGTTGTGGAGGATGGAACTCTCATACACTGCTAATGGCAATGAGAAATGTTGCCAACACTTTGGAAAACAGTTTGCCAGTTTCTTGAAATGTCAATCTTACAACTACTATATGTCCCAGCCATTGTACTCATAAGTATTTACCCTAGAGAAAGAAAATGTTATGTCCAAATGAAGACACATATACAAATATTCATAGCAGCTTTATTTATAAGAGCCCAAAATTGGAAGGCAGCTATGCTCACCACTATACCACCAATGCAGAGAGCCCCAAATCGGAAACAACCCAAATATTCATGACCAGGTAAATGGACAGAATAAATTGTGATACATCCGTACAATGGAATATTCGTCAATCATAAAAAAGGAGGAACTATCGATACATGCAACAAATGGATAAATCTAGAAATAATTAGGTTGTAGGAAACAAGACACAAAAAATACACACTGAATATTCTATTCACATACAACTGTAAGAAAAGAAATCTAACCCATACTGACAGAAGATCAGTAGTTGCCTGGGAATGGCGTAGGGTGATGTGGAGAGAAAGAGGCTGGAGAGAGGTAGATGGGGGCATTACCAAAGGGGCACAAAGAATGTTTTTAAGGTGACTGATATGTTCATTACCTTGACTGTATTAGTATTAGATTCAAAGGTACATACATGTATCAAAGTTTATCAAAGCATATACTTTAAGTATGCAGTGGATTGTATGTCAATCATACATCAATAAAGTACTTTACATATATTTATATATTCAAATTCTCTGATGCAATTAAATAAATCAGGGAAAAGATTTCCACAACTGTGTTCTTGTAACATTAGCAGATCCACACACTGTCTTACCAAATTTGTCCATGCTACATATAACCAAAATAGAAATAATCATTTTAGTGAAATATATCCAAATACTTAGGGAAAGTTGATGTCCATATCCTTCTAAAGTATGGAAATAAAAATATTATATTCTAGGAAAATAATCATAATGATATTGAAGTGTAACTGGTTATTTTAGGGAATATAGCTGAGTATCATTATAAGAGGGCAAATGCTAGGGTAATAATTATCTTTCTTATGTTAAGTTCTAGGGGTACCTGGGTGGCTCAGTTGGTTGAGAGTCTGCCTCTTGGTTTCAGCTGGGGTCCTAGTCTTGGGGTCCTTGGATCGAGTTCCACGTTGGGCTCTGCACTCAGTGAGGAGTCTGCTTGTCCCTCTCCCTCTGCTACTCCCCTTGCTCTCTCTCTGAAACAAGTGGATAAAATCTTTAAAATAATAATAATAACAATAACAATATAATAACAGTAATAATAATAGTTTCTTGTCACTGATATCTTTAACTAACACTTGGAAATTTTCTGGCTCTTTAAAACATTTCATTATATAATGGGAAAAAATCATGGGCACCAGAGAAAAATCTGTTACAATGTCATATTACTAGAAAGATCTAACAACTGCACATTTCCATACCCATCTGAAAGACATGAGAATTGCTGATTATTTACACAGTGAGAACAATTTAAGTATGTTTATGTTAATGTATATTAAATGTATGTTTAAGTCCAAGTAAGTTTCTTCCTAAACTGGATGATTCATTGTTTTTCAGGGAAAAAAAAAAAGTCTCTCTAAGATGGGCCTCAAGGGCTTACTACACAGGCTATAGCTGCTGACGAAATAAAATTCCACCTGCTAAACCTCTTCTCCCATGATGAGATGAAAGCAGCTTCTCTACTTTTAGGCTAGTTTGTGAACCTCAAAGGAGCTGTTCCACAACATGCTTTTTTCAGATCTATGCACTCTCTTCAGCCAGGTACCATATTCCACCAGGGATGTAAGGTGATGGGCTCTCCTGAGGACTGCTGGAGTAGAAGCCATCCGGACACATCCTCAGAACCTGCCTCCTTCAGGCACCTGATATGAGCTGGGCCACTCACCATGAAGAGCTATACCGGGAGAGACAGACCCAGCAATCACTGTGTTTTACTGGAGTAACGAAGTGCCTAATACAACACTAGGTCCCCTTTCACCAAAAGCAAACCACCTTCACTCTTCAGACCACCACCACTAGTTGCCTGTGATCACCCCTCCAATGGAGCAAGTCCAGGGAAATGAGCAACCATATTAGCAATAAAGGCATAAGCTGGTATTAAAGGAATGAAGGGGAAATAGAGTCTCACATATAACGTTATGTCAAATGGACATATCTGTTTCCCAAGGCCCATGTTACGACAGATGAATAACTTCAACGGCCTTTGAGATGGAAGTCCCATTTCTCCCAACCAGAGAGTTTCAGATAAGGGTTTAGAAAAGGATCACAAGGTGATTCTGACCTGCATCCAGGTTCAGGGCCCTATCTGAGCGTCAGATAAAGGAGATACAGGAGTTATCTGATTTGGGGGGTACAGACATCTAATATTTATGAAGCATTTAGTTAAAGCAGGCCCTAGGGAAAGGTTCTTCATGATGTTGACTAGATTTAGTTCTTCACCACAAACTTGCTATGAGGTGTTGCTATCCTCTCTTCATGGATGTTTGCAACTCCAAGCATGTGTTCCTAACCAGAGACAGATGGCAAAAAGATAAAAGTCCAGGTTCCCCCTCTCAGCCTCCACTGACATGGGGGAGGTGGTTGTGCATGGTAGTGGAAGGGAAGGGACGCCTTGTTCCTGTTTGGCAGTTCACTCCCTCCAGGCCTCCACTGACACCACCCTGGCAGGTGGGGAGGACACTTCCTTACTGCCTTCCGTGTGATCTCCACTGACACTGTGGAGGGGAGGAGGCCTTCTCCTTATTGGATGGTCATGAAACTTCTAAGAGAAGAGGAGAAGATACCTCATTACCACTGAATGTGGGTGGAAGGTAGGCTCCCGCATGGTCTCCACTGACACCATGAGGAGGGGTGCTCATTTCCCCCAGGTTGGAATGAAAGTCACTGTTCTACATGCAGTATTCTCTCATATCCCCCAAGGGTAAGGATGGGTGCCTAATTACAATCGTGTGGGCATGGAATCCATGCTCCCCACTCAACCTTTGCTGGCATGGTAGAGGTGGAGCTATGCTTCATTCTGTGGTGTTTGGGCAGTTGTCTAAAAACTATCTTTCTTGTTAGGTTCCCCCCTTTCTGGTTCTTTGTCCAGAGAAAAGATTCTCTGGGGGCTCTTCTTGTCTTTTCCTACTGGCATTTTTTTAGTTCCCTATTCCTCTAGCACCCAGTCTGGCATATACAAGGCAAAATACAACCAAGAGAATTCACTGTGTATCATTACTTGGGTTCCAAAGTCCCAAGACAGTCTGTCTTTTTCCTCTCCACCTTTCAGAGTCTTGTATTTGTTGCCCATGTAATACCCAGAGATTTCAGCTGCACCTAAGAGTAACAGGGAGAGTGTATCTACTTCTTCTGGTCCCCGAAAAAGAAGTCCTTTTACTTTTAATACAGGTAAAACATTTTTACATTTGCATTCCCCCTTTCCTAGATAAAAAGTACCATGCCATTTATAACTTTGAATACGCTGACTTTTTCATTTAACATTATATTCTGGAGATCCCTCCACAAAATCTCCTATGTGGAGATTTTCATCAGTCTTTTTACAACGTACTTCGTGTACACCTTGTGTGACTGTGTGATAGTTTATTCATCCATTACACAACTGATGTATAAAGTTATTCCCATTCTTTTGCTATTCAAATAGTACCAGAATGAGTATCTGTATCTATATTTATTATTATACCCCTATCAAAAATCTTTTTGTGTCATTGCCAGTATATCTTTAGGACAATTCTGGAAATAGGATTTCTGAGTCAAAAAGTAACGTCATATATAAAATTGCAAGATATTTTCAGTTTTCCCATTGTAATGATTAGTTCCCTATAGTTACTAAAAAAATTACCACATACTCAGTGTCATTAAATGGAAATATTATCTCATAGTTTGGAGGCTAAAGGTCCAAAATTAGTTTTGTGGGGCCAAAATCAAGGTATTAGTAGTGCTTCACTCCTGGAGACTCTAGGGAAGCTTCCCTGCCTCTTCCAGCTTTCAATATCTACCAACAGTCTCAGGCTGTGGCTTCATGACTCCAGCCTCTATATCCTTGGTCACACTGTCTTTCTTCTTCTGTCTATGTCAACTCTCCCTCTGTCTCTCTTATGAAGACACTTGGA